AGCCAAGGGGATAAGCATTGTTCCTCAGTGGTCTCTGCTTCAGTTCCTGCCTACAGGTTTCTGCCTTGAGTTCATGTCTTGAATTCCTGTCTTAACGTCTCTCAATGATGTAAGCTGTAAGATAAAATATACCCTTTCTTCCCAAGTGTATTTTGGTCAGTGTTTTATCACAGTAACAAAAAGCTAACTAGAACACTTACTTTGCCCCCGAAAAATCAACCCCAATGGATCAAAGACTTTAACCTGAAACTTTAAAATAGCTAGAGGTAAAAGTAGGGAGTACATTTCAAGATATAGACACAGTTAAGGACTTTCTTAATAGGACTCCAGTCACTCAGGAAATAAAATCAACAATCAACAAATAGGATCTCTGTGTAGCAAAGGAAAGTTGAATGAAAAGCCAGTCTACAAAATGGTATAAAATCTGCCAGCTCCACATGCAACAGATGAATAATATCTAGAGTATACGAAGTATTCAATAAACTAAATATCAAGTAAACAACAAAAACCAATAAAAAACGTGCGCTAAGGATCTGAACAGAGAGATCTCAAAAGAAATACACAGGGCCAGTAAATTTGTTTTAAAGTGTTTAACATCCTTACCTATCAAGAGAAATGCAAATTTGAACTTCTTTGAGATTCCTTTTTCATCCCAGTCAGAATGACTATCATCAAGAAAACAAATGCTGGAAGGATATGGAAAAAGGGGAATCCTTATTCACTGCTGGTGTGATTGTAAACTGGTGCAGCTACTATGAAAATCCGTGTGAAGATTCCTCAAAGAGGTAAAAATAGAACTGTCACACTTTACCACTCCTGGGCATATAGCCAAAGGACTCTATATTCTACCCAAATGATATTTGCACATCCAGGTTTGCTATGCTGTATTCACAATAGCAAATAAATGGAATCAGATTAAATGTCCATCAACTGATGAGCAAACAACGAAAATTCAGCACATATTACACAATGCAATTATATTCAGCAGTAAAGAAAAATGAAATTCTTAGGAAAGTGGACTGAACTGGAAGATATTACATGATGTAACCCAGGCCCAGAAATACAAGACATGTTTTTTTTTTTCATGTGTGTAACTTCTAGCTTTTATATGTGTGTATTTATGTGGGTGTGTGTTTAGATGCCAGGAAACTAGAAAGGGGCCTATGAGAGTTTGTAACTTAGGCTTTAAACTGAGGATATAAAACACGTGACATGAAAGTGAAAAGGGAATAGTGGTGGTAGAAAGTTTTAAGTGCAAATGGAGTACAGGGAGGTGGAGGAGAGGACTGTGTGGGGTGAGAGTCAAACAAAACCAAGTATGTATGAAAAAGTCATAATGGAGCCTGTTACATGGTAAGGAGCTCCCAGAACCTGTAACACTATTAAATTAAAATCTGAGTGCCAGAGATGGGCTACCTCTCTATGAGTGATTAGCCAAAAAGGCTCTCCCCACCATAACACAGGCTCTCACTAGTGCTTTTTGTTGCCCAGGAGAACTAGATGGTAAGACCTTACTGCTCGAGAAAATTCAAACTTGTTCCAAGACATAAAGAAACCAAGGTGGAAAGGAGATGGAAGCTTCCTGTCTGCTGGATATCCTTTTGGTGTGCTAGAAGACACTGTGCAGGCTGCTGGGGTAAAACTGTCATTGACTGTCTTATTCTACATTCTACACTACTGACCTAGCAGGCAAGATGTGCCACTGGTGCAACAGTAGCATGAATGTTATGGGAGTAACCAACTGTCTTCTGATTGGATTTCAGGCCTGTTCCACAGGAGGGAATTCTTATCTGGTACTGTAAATTTGGTCAAAAGACAAATTTGAGGGAGAGGCCACTCTCTCTTAGTGGAGAACCTACTGCTGTTGTTTTTCTTAATGGACATGATGTGCCTGTTAAACTGCCTTCTAAATATTTATAGTATTGCTCTGAGCTTTGGTCAGAGCTTTTGGAGGTGGACAGCAGTTACTACAGAGACCTGTAACTGGTTAAACCGCTGAGAATGTCACCACTGAATTCCCCAGCTATAAATGGGACATCTTTATCAAATGCATTCAAGAATGAGGAAACACTGGGGAAAAGGAGCAGAAATATTTAAGAGCTGGAGGAAGGATTGCTATGAAATACTATCTTCTGGGCAAGACACAGATGTCATACTCCTAAACTGTCAGCAGCTGTGATTACTTGCATAAGACCTGATCTGCACAAGATTGGTCCTGTCAGGGCTGGAGAAATGGCTCAACAGTTAAGAATAAGATCACTGGCTGCTCTTGCAGAGGACGCAGGTTCAGTTCCATGACAACTGTCCATAATTCCAGTCCCAGGGGACCCAACGTTCTCTTCTGGCCTCGGTGGGCATTGCACACACATGGTGTACTTACATACATGCAGGCAAAAATTCATAAACATAAAATAAAAAATAAGCTTAAAAATGCAGCAGATGGTGATTAACACAGAGATCCACAACTGGCCAATGTGCAGAGAATAAGAGACCGTAGGGTGCTTATTCCTAAATAGGACACTTATACCAAACCTCTGCTTCCCAAGGCTCAGGGATCATTGCAGAATAGAAGGCTGAAAGATTTTAAGAGCTAGAGGGGGTGGATAACCACAAGGAAAAGTTTTCCAGACAGCTGGGCAGTTGCTCATATGAACTCACAGCAATGGTGACAGCATATATAAGACCCAGGTAAGCTCAACTCCGAGAGAATTCCAGTATGGAAGTAGGTAGGTGGGTCGGAGGCCCCAGCCCTGCTTGAGGAACTATTGGCAACCAATAGCTGCTGGGAGAGGGAGAGTCAGTTTTCTTAGGATTGTGATGCTAGATAGGATAACCAGGCTCTGGTGGATGGATCCACACCAAAGGACATTTGGGGACACAGTTTTGACTCAATAGGCATATATACATATATATAAACATATGTATATATATATATATATAAAATTTATCTGTGTGTTACATATGAGTACATGGTATCGGTTGGGGAGTATTGAGGGGGTCCAAATAGGGGAGGAGGGTCAAAATATGATAAAATTATATTGTATGAAGTTCACAAAAATTAAATAAAAAATGAAAAAGTAAGTAAATCCAAAAGACTGGGCCTGGCGACATTGTACCATGGAGTTGAGAGATCCTCATGAGGCCTTGGCCCTCCCTGAGGATTTAGAGTCTGTTAATAGTTGCCTGGGGAAGAGGCTAAGAAGGTCCCACCCCCACCTGAAGTTCTATAGGCAGTTGATGGTTGCTGGGACCATGAGAGGCATTTTTTTCAGTGGTACAGTCAATGCAAAGTTGCCCATGCTCCTATAAGTAACCCTAATTAAACTCACTGGGTTACCAAAAACTAAAGCCTATTGGGAAGAAGAAACGAATCAACAGGAATTGGACAAGAGAGGGTAATGGGAGTGAATACCATCAAAATACATTACATACATGTATAAGAATATCATTAAGAAAACCCATTATCATATATAACATGCTAATATAAAAAGAAAAACATCATATATTTCTCCTCATCCTGGATTAGCTATTTCACTCCTGTCTGAACCTGTTACAACCTTTGTGAATTAAAAACCATCATGTGATGGACTCAATGCATTATTACATATAATACATATATATGTATGGTTATAAAGTATGTATGTATAGTTAATAATAATCAAAGAGGACAAGTAATTGAAGGGGGCATGGGAAATGTGGGAGGGGGATTTGGAGGGGTAAAAATAATGCAAATACAATACTCACATATGAAATTCTCAAAAAAAAAAAAAACCAACACTGTGTGAGGCTAGGGATGTAGATCAGTTTTTAGAGTGCTTGCTGATCATGCATGAAGCCCTTGGTTCAATCCCAGTCTTGCATAAAACCGGGTATGGACACCTATAATCTCAGCATCAGAACTTCAAGGTCAGCTTCAGCTCAATACCAATTTTGAGGCCAGCCCAAGCTACATGAGAGCCTGTCTCAAGAAGAAAAAAAAAACGTGCGGAATGAATTAATAAACTTTGGAAGTTTTACAGTTTGTTGTTCTGTTTAGGTAACTTTTTATTTTTATCTGATGATTTGTATAATTGTAGAATTATCCATTACCAAGTAACATAAATTCATAAATTGACTAAATTTGTCCCACCTACATCTATTTGTGATTGTGATTTTTCTTTCCAGGTACACCAGTCTCCTTTACATATTATAGAAAGCATCAGTGCTAACCCTAGTTCGTTGAAAAATCTATATATTAACAGTTGTGTTTGTGTGTTTACGGTGTATGCATGCATATACACATGTGCACTACCTGTGTACATGTGTGGTGGACAGAAGACGATGTGATGTGTCTTTCTCTATGGCTCTCCACCTCCCTTTTTTGGACAGGGTTTCTCGCTCACACAGGGTTTCTTGGCTGACCACCAAGCCCATGGGATCTTCCTATCTCTGGGAGAATTGGGATTAAAGGCCTGCACTGCCATCCATGCCTGAATTTTTATATGGGTGATGGGGATCTTAATTTAGGTCTTCTTGCTAGCGCAGCAAGGACTTCACCCACTGAACCATCTTCCCAGCCCTGCCCTCACTTTTAACTGTTGCATGATAATGTCTTAACACTTGCCGCAGATACCATGACTTAATCATCCTCTTGATTTAATTCAATTGTTGTGTTTTATGTTATTCTTTTACCTTTTATTCTGCATGGACTGTATTTTCAACAGTTTGTATTCTGAACAGCAAAATCCAACATAACTCTTCAAAACTTATCTCATTCTTAACCTATCACTCAAAATCCTCTTCCCACCCAATTCAGGAAGTTAGATACACAAGTATAGGAACACTATGCCCCACTCCACTTCTCTTCACACCACTTTGCTACATGACAGGGAGCAACTTAAAGTGAGTCCTGCCTACAGCATGTTCTGAGTTGCTGTCCACTGCAACCTTTGAAATATAATGCTGAGAAAAAGATTTTTTACAAAGCATATTATACACACACTACCTCTGGGTGTGTTCATGTGTCATCTTTGCATCTGTATTTTCAAAAAGGAGGTAATGGGCGACTTCTGCTACCTTCAACACATAACTTTATTGAAACACAAGACTCAAATAGATACACATTAGAACACTTAGAAGGGTATCTTATTTACAATGGCTCAGTTCACTGTAAACTTACATACTAATATCACAACCAACAAGACAAGTATCGACAAGGTGTTTCAGTTGTAATATTCATTTGGCATCAGAGATATGATCCAGTCTACACAGAGTTGGTTAAAATTAGTATCAGCATTAAAGATATACACTGAAACTGAAACACAACACAAACTGTGAAACCAAAAGCATTACTTGAGGATCATATGACTCAGAACACAGAGACATTCAGAGGTAAACAGTTAATCATATTAATTTTCTTACTCTGCTTCAGGGTGATTTTGATTGTCAGTTTTGTTCTGCATTTTCTTAGCAAATTTCTCAAATTCACGGAATGTAGAAACAAGTGCTTCATAATTGCAATCATCATCATCATCATCATCATCATCATCATCAGTGAACATTTCTTCTTTTTTGAGATGGTTACCAATATTCTCAAATATCTCAAAAACAATCTGAACATTGTCCTCTCTCTCTTTCTTGTTAAGCAGGCCCATAAACTCAGACACTGCTTCAGCACGAAGTAGCACTTTTGTCATGACAAGATTTTCAGACAAATTCAGTAGCATTTTCAGAACATGAAACTTTGTTTTGCCATTGCCTGTAGCCAGCAGGTATAGGAACCCAGTTATGTAAGTAGCAACCAGTTCATGATAGGAAGTAGTAGTAGTGAGGTGTCTAACCATCATTAATCCTGCCAGCTGCTCAGAGGAATTCAAGTTATAATCAAGGGTATCCTCACACACCTGACACACATATGTCTGAATCATGTTTAGATCTGGATAAGGTGGAGCCATGCGAACCATATTATCCAAAAACTGTGTCCTAACTCGGGAGGATGGATAATTAAGTAAGGCTTCAATAAGTGAGACAACACCTGAATTTCTAATGAAATCTCGGGTAAATTGAGAAGCACTTCTCATACCCATTGCAATTTTAGATATTTCATGAATAAAAGGGTCTCGATTTCTGTCCATTAATAAAAGAAGCTCCTCAAACTCCTCAGGACCAATTCTAAGATCACACTGTATGCACTTACAGGACCAGCTTTCAGACTGTGCACTTTCTCTGGCCTTAAGATGCTCTCGAATTTCCTGTACTGACCGGTAAGAGGGATCATACTGAAATGGAAACTCATCTTCAGAATGACGTAAAGGTAGTTGCCCTTCTCCATCTGGACCAAGTCCCATGTGTTTAAGCTTTCCCCCAAACATTTCAGCAAACAGAGATGCTGTTTCTTTTGGAAATCTAAAGGGGTTTATGAATGGGAAGCCAGCCTTACCCCAGGGACCAGCCTTAAACTGAACAGTGACCTCATCCCAGCTCTGAGGTCTGCGTGAAGGATCGGGTTCCTGCTCAGTTGAAGATGTAGACTCACAAATGGCCCTGTATACAGGGATAGGATCTGATTCAAAATGAGCTTCATCTCCTGCCCAGAACCAGGACCCCACTATGGTTTCAGCTTCTGTACTCAAGTCACAATTTTCTCCACTGCCAGTACTATTCATCTCATCTTTAACTCCTGACTCAAACTCAACCACCAGCCCTTCCTCATTTTCTGGCTTGGACTCACAGGTAGTCACAGTTTTAGATTCTTCAATGGTTTTGTCACTAGACCAGAACCAGGACTCAACAATCATTTCATCATCATCCTCTGGCTTGGACACACAGTGTGCTCTTGCTTCTATATTGTCATTTTTTGCAGCCCAGAGTATGGCCTCAAAAATTGCATCATCTTCAGTCTCTGACCTGTTTTCATCTGCCTGAGACCCAGACTCTAGATTAGCTTCTTCAGTCCAGAACCATGAGCCAATGACTTCCTCCTCCTTAATTCCATGATTGGACTCAAAAGTGTCCCTTCCCATTGCCCCTAGACTGGTCTCTTCTTCCCAGAACCAGGACCCTACAATGGCTTCCTCATCAGCTTTTAAACTGTATTTGCTGCAAACTCCAGTCTCTCTAACAGCCTCTTCCTTGCCCCAGAACCAAGATGCAACAGAAGCTTCCTCTTTGGCTGCTATCTTCTTGTTCTCTTCTTTAAGCTCACCGGGTGTCTTATGCTTGTCCTCTTCTCCAGCCCAGAACCAAGAACCAATAATGTCTTCCTCTTCAGCTTCTGGCTTGGACTCTTTTCTGTCAATAGTCTTTATAATGGCTTCTTCGTTTTCTTTCCAGAACCAGGACTTGAACATGCTGTCCTTTAAGGTTGGTATCTTGATCTCTTCTCCAGTCTCATCATCTATATTACCCTCTTCTGCAGCCCATAACCAGGACCCTACAAGAGCCTCTGGCCTTGTATAATTACTGGACCAGAGGCAAGAATCAACAGTGTCCTCATCCTGTCCCAGTGTAGGCTTCAGCCTTTCTCTTCTGAGAGGATACATACAAGGCTGCTGCTCTGCCCAGAAGCATGATCTTTTACTGGTATCCTCAACTTCTGCCATAAGCTTGCACCTGGCACCAATGGCACACTTCATACTGACTTGTTCTCTGGCCCCAAACCAAGGAGATATAATTGGCTCTTCCTCATCCTCCAAACTAGACTTACTGTTAACTTCAGCCTCTACCCCAGTATCCACTTTAGACCAGAACCAGGGCCCAATTATAGGCTCCTCCTCCTCAGCCCCTGCCATGATGTCACAGCAAGCTTCAGTTCCTGAATCCATATGAGCCTGCTTTTCAGACCAAAACCAGGGCACAAAGATTGTCCCTTTTGCAGATGCTGGCCTGGTCTGCTCTTCAATCTCAGTATTAACTTCTCCAGTCCAGAACCAGGAATCTGTAATGCTTTTCTCCTCAGACCTTGAAATGGACTCACAGGTCACTCCCACAGATCTCACATTGCTGTCACCAATGCCCCAGAACCAAGGTCCAAAAATGGTCTCTTCCTCAGCCTGTAACTTGCTGTCTTCATCATCAGCCCAGAACCAGGAACCAACAATGACCTCATCATCATTAGCTACTAGCATAGACTTAGAAGCAGCCTTAGCCCCAACCTCCATACTGATTTTTTTCTCAGTCCTCAAACAGAAACTATCAATTTGCTTCTCCTTAACCCTTAGTCTGGGTTTATGACTGGCCCCAGTGACTGCACTTGCTTCTTCAGTCCAGAACCAATTTCCAACAATGGTCTCATCCTCCACATGTGGACTGGACTCCTCCGTATCCCAGAACCAGGACCCAATGAGGACTTCCTCCTCTGTCCTGGATTCTTGTTTGGTACTGGCCCCAGGCTTACTTTTGACTTCTTCCTTTGCCATTGCCCTGACTCTGGTGTCTTTCTTTGGCTTAGACCTTAAAAACGTACCAGTTTTTTCTTCAGGCCAGAAATAGGCCTCTTTTTGGTTTATATCTATAGCCCCGGACATGACATCACTGTAAGCATCTCGCTTGGCCTGGTGCCTAGCCCTCACATTGGCCCCTTTCCTGACTCTCGGTTTGGACCTGGGTTTGGCCTCTTCCCCAGACCAGAAACAGGATTTCATACGACTTTCACATTCAGATTCAGAACTGGATTCCATACAGACGTCTTTCTTAGATCTAAACCAGGACCTATTATTTGGCTCTTCCCTGGACCTAGACCAGATATTGGTTTTTTCTTTGGTCCAGAACCAAGATGTCTTAACAGATTCATCCTCAGAATCAGAACTAGATATAATATAGAACTCTTGTTTGTTTTTGTGCCTAGACATGGTATTTGCCTCTTGTTTGGCCATGTGCCTGGACCTGCTACTCACCTTCATGCTTTTTCTAGGACGAAATCTTGTATTGATTTCATCTCTATTCCAGAACCAGGAACCTCCAGAGGGTTTGTCTCCCCATTTGAAATCAGAATTCTCATAGACCTCTTCTTTGGGTATAGGCCTGGGACAGTACCAGGGCCCTATACTGGTTACCTCCTCTGACCCAAACGAAGGCTGGAATCTTCCTTGAGAAGTAGCCTTCTTTGGAAATCTCTCAGTGTCCATATGAACAGATTCTCTATCTACATACAGGCACTTAGCATTAGGAACCGCTCCAGAATCAGCACTGACAAGTGGAGAGTCTACAGCTTTGGTCTGACATTGTTTCCCCATCTTTGACATGGACTCGCCCCGAAACTTATTCTGACCCCAAGCCTGAGCATCACTCTTGGATCGTGAACTAGAGCTTGCCTTGGTTTTGCCATTAGCATGTGCCCCACCTACTGTACTGGGTTCACTTTTGGATCTTGCTCCAGATGTACCCTTAGACTTCATCTTAGGCCTTGCTCCAGGCATTAACTGTGTCCTAACCTTGGGTCGGACCACCAAAGGGATGGCATTCTCTCGCTCAGCAGCATTGCTATTCTCATCCCCAGGCTTATTTCCAGTCTTGGCCTGGACACCAGGCTCAATCTCTGCCCCAGTCATAGTATAAGTTAAACAAAACCCCAATATACACCCCTCAACAAGAGTAAGCCTTCACTACAGATCTGTCACAGGACTGATCTTCACACTGATCTTTAGTAAACTGGGCTGTGAGCCTGGAAAGAAGAATTAGAGTGGATTGCCAATCAAACAGTCAGTGAGGCTCCTACCCAAGCACAGTCTCAGTCAATAATACAGATGCAGTCAGAAGAGGCGAAATCAAGCTGGGTGAAGATAGGCCAGTCCTAGGTGTCTGCAGAACTGTTGAGGGTGGTGGTCAGCAGCAACTCCAGCAGCACCACAGCTGCAGCTGAAAGTGGATCTAAGAAGAGAGAACAAAACGGGGAATCAGTCTTATCAAATTGTGTTGCCTCTTGTAGAGACTTACACAGAGACTGGCACTCAATGGTGACTGGCTATGAAAAATCTCCCTGTCCCTCTTCCATGCTGAAAAAGAGGAACAAAGATGGGGTAGAAGTACAAATGCTAGTAATGGAGAGGCAGAGGAGCCCAAAGAACCGAGAGAAGTCACTCATGGATGGTCTTTACTGGCCCCACCTAAAGTGAATCCATCCCATACCAACCTTCACAGATGTGGTGCAATTTCCCCTCTTTTCTGTGTTGAAGCAAGGTTAAGAACTGCAGCCAACCACAGGGGGTCCTACAGACAAACAAAAGAGAATGGGCTTCAGTGCTTGTTAGACAGACACACTGATGCCTTAAATAAAGAAAAAAAAAACCTCAAACCAGGATCCCTTTTCATTTAAATGTCCTGTTCCCTGGCCTCAGCCCTCAGCTCTTAGATTTTCCCTGCATGACACAGTCAGACTTACATCTACTTCAACACTTGTAAGATCTCTGAAAGGAAATAAACAAAGGAGGCTGTGGCAGTGGGCAATTGGGGGACCAGGAAAGTCATGGTGCACCCATCTGGATTAAAGAAGCCATTTTTTTTTTCTCCTCAGTAGCTGTTTCCTGTGTTTTTCCCTTTCTCACCAAGGTCCAGAGATTTGAGACCAGCTCCTAGTCCTTCTCTTTCTTACAGAATCTGCCAGTCTTAAAGCAAGCCTGTGGACAAAAAAAAAAGGTAAGACAATCAGAGATAAACAGCAGCAGCTGAGCTCACTGACCAGACCAAAACCAAGGACAGGACCGATATCATGTGTCTTTCCCAATTTGGACGCTACTGCTGGAACATTCTTGTTTTGTTTAGGCTGGATGCAGGATTCAGGAAGCAACAACACCTCTTGATGTCATACACTTCCCATTAGTCCCTTCTCCAATTCTGTGGATTTACCACTAGGGGCGCCACATCTCCTAGACCTGCGCAGCAGAAAATGGGGGAAGGGCGCAGCATGTTCTAGAAAGCAGGTTGCGAAGTGGTCTTTGAATTTATGACTCCGTCATCATCCCCAACCCATCTTTTCAGAGCCCAAATTGAGGAGGAAAGGAGAGAGGGGAAGAGGGAGGACGAGGACGGTGGAGGAAGCACCTACACTGTGAGAAGTGACATTGGGAGGCCCTACTGGATGCCCACCTGTTTTGGGCACAGTCACCCCCACCCCTTCGGAGTCTCCGTTCGCTGTCTGGTCCCCCACGCCCCGCACTGCCACACACCTCCAGAAATCCAGGCCATTTTCCTGCTCTTCTTTTCTCAAGCCTCTGGTCTACAGATGCTCACTGTGGCCTGTCAGAATATGCCAGACCTACCATGCAGACAGAAGACTTTGCCATCAAGCAGAGCCTGTGGGAGGGACAGCACCCAGGATACGGGCACGAACGCCCCTCTTCGGAATGGGAGCCCCAATGGCCAAAGGCACTCCCTACCCACCAGCTGAGCTGGTTACACAGCGGGACGCTGCACACCCCCACGACTCCGCGGCCTCCCACCCCCCCAGCTCCCGCACCGCCATTTCTCCCGCAGTCGTCTTCCCCACAACCCTCCTGGGGCCCAGACACTATGGAGGGCGGGGCGCGGGCGCCCGGGTAGCCAGGTGGCCTCCCTCCAGACTACTGGATCCCGCTGCCCAGGCCACCCCTCAACCCTCAACAGGCCCGGGTCTCCGCCTGCTCACCGCCAGGGGTCTCTGGGCACTGCGTGCCACACTCGGGAGCCCCCCCGCCCCACCATTCACCTTGGCGCAAGGCTGCGGGGGTTTCCATGCCGTGGGGATGAAGGGATGTGTGGTAGGGGTCTGGGGTCTTGGGTCTGCAGGCCCGAGATCCTTGGTGCGTGACTGCTCCGTCCCCGCGACACACCCCCACTTGCCTGGCCAGGTACAGGGCCCGGTTCGCCGGACTCCCCTCGTCCCCTGTCGGCTCCCGGCTGTGCTCTATCCAGCGCAGCTCCAGGTCTGTCACGCTCCCACTGCTTGGCGCGCGAGCCGAACGGCAAAGTGGCGTCCCGCCCCCACGCCTCTGCACCACAGCGGACAGGGGCTGCGCAGGATGCGGCAGGCACCGCTCGCCTCGAGGGTGTCGGGAAGGGGGCGGAGGGATATGGCGCACTCGGCACGACGCCCCCTCCCAGGCCCACCGTAGTTCCGACCCGGAGTGGGCGGAGCCACAAACACTCCTCTTGGAGGGGAGGGCTGCGCAGGCAGCCTCTGCGGACCCCGCGCACACCAAGGCCGAGACCACCGCCACTTTTGTGTGGCTGCCAGTGTGTGTGGGAGGGGAAGGCTGAGGGCTTAGGGGCTCCGGGGACTTGGAGAGGGGCCAGGCGGGGGAGGAGGTCTGGACTTGGGGAGCTGGAGGGAGCAGCGGATGGATACTGAGCGGCCCCTTGGTGCATCTGCACCCCAGACCGAGGCTGCAGAGCCTGCCCCTCCCTGTACTCCCCCCTGTTCCCCCTGCTCTCCCTCCTTGCCTGACGCCAGTGGAAGGGGTGGGGGGGGGTTGTCAGGACTGCAGCCTGACAGGGGACAGGTGACCTAGCAACAGACAGCCAGGAAGGCTCTTGTTGGCTCTCCCATGTTTTTCTTTCACTGGTTCATGCAACCATGAAGGGGAGGAGGGAACTTCTCCCTCTAGGGGAACTGAAGTGGGGGCTCTCATTACATCCCCCACCTGCTGGCCCTGTTTCAAAAGGATCACCACATACCACACCACACCACCCGGCCTCCTAAAGCAACATGTTTGTGCAAACGATTCTGCCGCACTGAGTTTTGGCGTCCCCATCCCCGCCCAGCTCCATTCTAAGTAGGAACACATTGGGTTTGGTCATTTAGTGTTCTCCCAGCTGCCCAAGACAGGGGCTTTTCCCTTTTCCAGGTCGGTAGGGATTTACAGGGCATGAAAGAGTCCTGCCTCTTGCTGCCCCACAGCCACCTGTTAGACCCCAGTTTGGTTTTCTTGCCAGAGGTTCTCTCTTGCCAGCCATGTCCAAGCTCTCATGTTTGGCAGTGTGCGAATGTGGGAAGGATTCGAACCAGCATGGACCTCAGCCATAGCTACCTGCCTAGGTTCACTGTGACTCTTGGGAAGGACTTTCCAGACATTCTCAACACAGATACTTGGCTGCTTTTGAGTCTTCTTCTTTTACCCCACCCACCTCCTCAGCTTTTGATGCCCTCTTTTCTGTGCTTGCTATGTCTGACAAGCAGTAGTGGCATTAAACACAAGTTGAGGCTATTACTCTTGTCTATCTTAAAACTGGTCTAAGGGGCTGGAGAGAGAGATCGCTCAGTCGTTAAGAGCACTGGTTGTTCTTGCAGAAGACCTGGGTTTGAATCCCAGCACCCACATGGCAGGTAACAACTGTTGGTAACTGCAGTTCCAGGGGATTCGACGCTCTCTTCTGTCCTCTGAGGGTCCTGCATGACATAGATGCACTTAAACACATGCAAGAATAACAGTAATACACAGAAAATAAAAATAAATTTAAAAAAACTCATTTAAGCACTGACGTTGTGTTTTACAGAATAACCCCGCCCATTACCATACCCAGAACATATGAGTATCTATTACTTGGCCAAGGAAAATTGGGGTTGCAGATGGAGTAAGGTTGTTAATTGGCTGAATTTAGCGTAAATTTATGCTGGACTATCCCCTCCAATGTAATTGCAAGGGTACTTTGGTGTGACTGAGGCCTAAGAGTCTGTCTGAGGGAAGCAGCACATGGGGGGAAAAAAGAAACTAAACTATCGTTTGCTTTGAAAATGGATGGAAGCCAGGAGCCCTGGAATGCAGGCTGGAAAATATAAAGATTCTTTCCTAGGAACCTTAGAACGAAAGCAGCTGTCATATCACCTTTGATTTAGTGTTAGTAAGACCTTATTGCATGCAGGGCTGTGAGATAATAAACTTGTTTATTTTAAGCAACTAAGTTTATAGTAATTTCTTATAGAAGCAACAGGAACAGAATCCACACACTATCCTAATGAAGCCCATGCTCACTGACTGTGTTTACTGTGCATCTGTGCCTGGGGAAGTTTGATTTTGTGTCTCATCTTTCACTTGTACTGACACCAATCTCCTATTTCACAAATTTATCTAAAATAACACTGGCATATATTTCACTCTACATTGTGGAGGTGCTAGTTCCTTTTTGTTGCTGTTCTTGCTGTGGTGGTGCTGAGGAGTGAATCCACACTCTTAAGCATGCTAGGAAATGCATGTACCGATGAGCTACAACTTCTATACCATTTAAAAATTTTATTGTGAGATGGGTCTGACTAAGTTTCCCAGGTTGGCCCTGAACTCACTATGCAATTCCAGCTGTCCTCAAACTTGCAATTCTGCCTCAGCTTTTAGAGCAGCTATGATTATAGTTGTAAGCAACCATGCCCAGCAGTGCCAATATCTTTACACCAATGTATTCACTGATAGGAGTGGTTCTACCAATATTTAAAATTTTTATTTGAAATTTTGAAAAATCTGGTAGTTAATTTGCTATGAATTCATTTAGAAAACAAAGTCTTGTAGTGGCTAATAATTATTGAACTGAAAAGGCCTAACTGGAAAGGCCTTACTGAAAATTGAAAGCTTTTTATGTGTTTTAGTAGTTTGCATTGATAAACAGATTAAATATTATCTTTAAATAAAATCAAATAGTGTACTGAAGATGCTGACCTATATCATGACTGCCAGGCCCTGTTTACTTACTCAGAAAATGCATTCCAGTTCAATAGATCCAGTGGCCCTGCTTCTATGCTCCAGTACCTCCTCTAGAAGCTGTGTAACCATCATTTGCTCCTGAAATGCTAACTTCAGCAAAGAGTCACAGGCATTAACCCTGGGATACAGAGACAGCTGTGCTCACTTACTGTGCCCTCCTAACCTTTCTCTTCCTCAGCTCACTCCACCACCCACTTCTGCTCATACACTTGCACTGTAGAATATTCACTGCCTGAATGGCTTGTATCATCACCTCTTGTCTCTGTCATGGAGCTTTTTTTTTTGTCTACATTTAGGTTAGTTTGCCTCTCTGCCGGCCTCCATGTTCCTCAGACAAACCTTCTTTTAGGAAACACTTCTGGATTAGGTTAAGCCAAATCGTGTTTTCATACAATGTACTCCTTCTCTACCTGAATTTCAGGAGTCTTGACTATCACCCAAAGACCTATCTCTTTCTTTTATTTTGCTAGGTGGCCATGAAGTAAGAAATGTTGTTCCGCTATGTGTGTACCATGATATGCTGCCTTGGTCCAGGCCCAAAAGCAATGCAGTCATTTGATCATGAAACTTCCAAAACCTCAAGACAAAAGAAACCTTTACTCTTTATAAGTTGATTATCTGAGATACTTTGTTATGGTATTGAAAAGTTAATGTGCTGTACACAGGAATTAAAATCCCTGCAGTCAGGACCAAGTAAGTAAAGATGGGTCAGTTTAACTAACTGATGAAAGTGGCCTGAAGAACATTTATTTTCAGGGCAGGAAGAGATGCTCTGGGAAAAAACTCAGTGCGTGCAGACTTCTTGAGACAGGGTACATTTACAGAACTGGTGGAGAGGCTGCATCTAAAAATATTTTCATATTATATCAAGAGATATGCTTCAGGCTGGAGAGACAGCTCAGCAAGTAAGAGTGTGTATTGTTCTTGCAGAGGACCAGCACCCATATCCGATGGCTAAGAACTACTTGTAACTCCAGCCAAGGGATCTGGACTCCATGAGAATATACACTCACACGTACAAATAAACACACAATTTGAAATCAAATGAGATTTGCTTCAACAACCAGGTAAAGTGGCACATGCCTGTAACCCTGGCACTCAAGCGGCAAAGGCAAGAGGATCACCACAGCTATGATGTTCCAGGCCGGCCTGGCCTACAAAATGAATGTCAGGCTGGCCAGGGCTACATAGTATGAAACTGTCTCAAAATGGAGGGTGTGGGGCTGCATACCAAGGGAAAATATAGTCAAGCCCAATACCTTAGCCTATGAATAGGCTTTAATTGTGCTATTTCCAAAACAAACCCCCAGGTATACATCTGTCATAATGAAGGTATATTTCTAAGTAATCTCAGAAACAAGTATTTCCAAATAAACTATAGCACTCAACTGTATAATAGACATAAGGACAAAGCGCAACCTAAATAAAGGAAAACACCCTCTTCTCCAACATGGTTTCAAAGTTTTGACTACTACTTACCTCTGACACCATCTAGACTCTGTATAGGGGTGGTGGCTGTGAAACTATGAGGGAACAGATGGAGGGAGGCATTAAGTGCCTAGCAGTAAAGCCTAGAATGGCAGCAGCAGCTAGAAGAATCCGGGCAAAAATCACTGAAATCCAGAGCACGGGAAATATTCCTTGAAAAATTTAGAATTACAGGAACTAAGGAGGGAAACTAGCTAGCTTTGTATGGATAAGGAACTCTAAATTTGCACAGCTAAAGAAAGTAATATAGATTAATGAAATGCTAACTTATTTCTCGAAATAAAAATCATGAGGCCATACTACCTTTTGTTGGTGTTTCTTCTTATCTAACCATTATTTTCTGCTTCTTCATGAGAAAGCCTCCCTATGACCTCCGTTAAGCCAGCAAAAAAGAAAGGGAAACAGAGGTAGTTCTCGTTCTTAAAATCTTTAGTCGGAAAATGCTCACGTCATTCCCAGTTACATTCCACAGACTGGACCCAATATTCCCTGTTCAACTTTCATGCCACATGTACTCTATTACTCTTCTTTTTTTGTTCCTTCCCCTACCTTTCACTATGACCTCTTTTGTTTTTCTCATAGTTCCATTTCTTATTTCTTGACCAACACTCATCCAAAATGTGTATATTTGGGGGGGGGGGGGGGGGGAGAGAGACATTCAATATTTGTCTTGAAAGAATCTAATCCTAAAAGGCAACATGAGGAACAGCAAGGTATCTCAGCAAATAAAGGTGATTGCCTCTGAGGCTGAGTACTTGAGTTAGATACTCAAAACCCACCTGGGGGAAAGAGAGACCTCTTCTGGTAAGTTGTCCTCTAACCTCCATACGTCCACTGTGGCATGAGCAAAGCTAGTCATTTATGGAAGCCCTAAGATACAGATAGTCATAAACAGTACAGAAGCTACAAGCTACTGAAGTAACTGGACAAACACTATCACCAAAAGATGCTGGTTTAAAAGTGGAAGTATTAAAGGAGTTACATTAGGCACCATTCATATCCTTCTGAAATCAAAATGAGGGAAAACCTTATTTATTGCCATTCTGCCAAATACCATGTAACTAAAACAGCACACAAA